GGTAAATAGGTTGAGAACCATTGGGTTAAACAAAGGCAATCTAATCCCCTCCTGGCTCTGGAAACATGCTCTGATTATCCTTACCCTAGTCAAACAAATTACTGCTAAATAATGGCAGAAGGACATTTTATTATCCAATACCAGATGGAAGAGCTAACCAACCTCCTATCAATGGAAGGTATGAAACTAGGGTTTCCAATTTTGGTTGGATGGATTCCTGGAGATTTCATCACATGACATAATCTTTAATTAAAGATTAATCTTTAATTCCTGGAGACCCCAGGGCAATCCTGGAGGGTTGGCAACCCAAAATGAAACTCTCCCAATGGGACAAGAGGAGTTTCAAACCTGAGAAAAACAAGATGATATTAGGCAAACCACACACTACAACACAAATGCCATCTGTTTCTCATACATTCTCCCCCTTCTTTCCTTTTTTGCTTTATCATAAACACATTTTCTAACATTGTATCTTTCAAATGATGTTTTGAATGGTGTGTGTGTGTGTGTGGTCAGTAGAGTAGACAGACCTGGAAGTACTAATGTGTTTGATATCTAGAACAACTAAGAAAAAAATTAGCATGCTTTCTAGTCATGTTTTCCACCTAACAAGGCTTTCCTAAGGCGCCCATTGTCATCTTGTACATTGTCAATTATTTTTTCTTGCCTTAAGATATACTTTTGAAATATCAGATACATTGTTTATACAAGCCTCTCCTCTCAAACACATTACAGTAAGTGATTTCCATTTTCATTTCCTGGATCTGTGCAGTTCTGAGAAGTCTACATATAGCAGGAGTGCAGTAGTGTCACGACTGGGGTGTGGGTGGTCAGGCCTAATGGCTGGAGCAAGAATCAGGCTTAGTGGTTAGAGCAGGAGTTGGGAGTCAGGAACCAGAACGATGGGTTGGAGCCAGAGTCAGAAGCAAGCAGGAAAGCGAGACTGGAGCAGACTGGACTCGGACAGGAACAAGGCAGTGTCATGGCTGGGAATAGGGTGACCAGATGTCCCCATTTTATAGGGACAGTCCTGATATTCAGGACTTTGTCTTATATAGGTGCCTATTACCCTCCACCCCTTGTTCTGATTTTTCATACTTGCTGTCTGGTCACCCTAGCTGGGAACCAGGAAAGCACAAGAGTGATTGCTGCTGCAGGCACACACACTGAACAGCCAACGACTTGCTGTTGCTCAATGACCTTAAAAGCAGGCCTAGGAGCTTCCTTCAACCAGTCAGGCAGTCTGGTCAATCAGGTGGTAATACCCTAACCCAGCTGACCTCTTTAATCTGGCTGGAGGCTGAGCTAGCTGGTCCTCAGGCTCAGTTGAAGGAGCTCATGCCTGACAAGGAGGAGTACTCAAGTGATTAGCTAGGTTAACAGAGTGGGCTTGGGAAAGGCCAAGACTGCCAATTCGTGACAAAAAACTGAAGCAGGTAAAAATAAATAATAAATAATTTGTATTGCCTGGTTCATTCTAGACTTTCTCAAAACACTTTTTTGGGTGCATCGTCACTGCAGAGGTAATGCCAGACTCTTACCCAAGTTTTAGCCCAACCCCCTGTCCTGCCCCATCTACATACAAACATTTTCCCGGTTTTGGAGGTGCTTTAAGCCTGGGCTACCTTATTCAGTTGTTGGAGGAAGGAGAAGGGGAAGATATATAGAGCCCAGTCTCTGCTTTAACTTGGACTGTAATCCACGTGTTGCAGTGAGTGATTCAGACTAAATCATTGGAGTACTGATAGTTATCCAGTGCCTTTTCATATTGCCCCCTGAAAGACAGACAAATTGTTCCAGAATTGACTGGGAAAGAATCAGTATGTCCCAGCACAAATAACCATGGGCTTTGCCCTCAGACACACACAGGTGAGTGCAGAAACAGTGAGGACACAGTGACACAGGTAGAGGTTTGCTGGGGGGATACTTATACCTGGACTAGGCGTCCTTGGGTGCTGATCACCCTGGCTAATTCTGCAGTGCTGACTCACCCACGCTTAACAGCAATTTGTATTAAAAAATATCCAGTATTGGTCATGGTCGAGCATGAATGGCAATTGTGCACACAAACTGTAATACAACAATTGTGAAGATATGAGTATACAATGGGTGTATCTTTGGATGTATGATACACAAACATACTATTTCCATTCCAGCAATATGAAATATTTCAGATAACTACAATAAGTTTTAAAAGTAGCTTATTAAACTCTGATTTGTTCATGAAAATGACCCCACAACTAAAATATTTCTATACTGGACATAAGTCTGAAAAAAATTAACAATGTGATTAATTTGACATTTAAGAGTGTACTGTTCTAACACAACTGGCGTAGTCATTTACAGAAATTTCAGTCACTGTGAATTTTCAGTCCTGTTTCCATTGATTTGAATGTCAAATGGAATCAGGATCACCACATTACATGTCTAAAGAATGGAGATATTGTATTTTCTTGCCTTCTTTTTTTAAACCACACTAAAAGCACCTGGAGACATTCTAAGAATGATGACAGACATCAGGTAAAATCCTGAGTACTCATCTCAAGAAAATGTGTCAATCCCTTAAATAACATGAAGCACAAATAAGCAGGATTACAGCTGTGCCAAATGCCAATATGTTGACATTATACTTAAGGAACAGATGTCCTGATGTTTTTGAATGAGGAAGTTTGAAAGGAACCTGTCTATAACCAGTGAGATCTTTAAAATTCAGGTTTCCAGCCATCTCCCTAGTGACTATTGATCTTTGATGAGGGAATGGGTAGCTTCCTGCAACTGAATTCAGTAAAGAAGGTTTTAGAAGTTAAAATAGGAATTAGGTTTGTCATGTCTTGGAGCACCACTGCTTTGGAGTATGAATTCTGTAAATATTCTACTAAGCACATCAGCACTCAAGGATCTGCCCCAAACACTTTGTCGGAGGCAAATCTATTCAGATGATGTAAGGATTTGGCAGTTAGTGGGTGCCCAGCTGGCTAAGTTTAGAGACACTTATAAACAAGAGATATGGTTCCGACAACATATAGCTACTTAAAACCCACATTGTAAAGTGTACATCTTACATTATTAATGATATAGTCCCATAAGGGGGTGACCTCAATGTGATGATGCCAAAAATTAATGATAATGTCTGCCACATAAGACAAAGAAGAATCTTCCAATTCCTATATGGATCAAACAACTGGACAAGTGAAAGGGATTAATTAACAGCTGCTCAGAGCAGTGCTGTATTTCCCTTTACCTCATCCCTTCCCCTAGTCTCTCAGTCATGGACTACAAATACTAACCCCCCTCTCCCTCCCTCCACACATCAGTCTGAATATCCCAAAGTGTCTCGAAACAATGATACACCTACCTTGAGTCTTCCCATATTGCCCTCCCAATGTAACTCAATCCTGGAGCACCATGATTTAGTATAACTGTGAGGAGGCACTTCAGTTTACTCACCTATTCACTACCATTGCTGTTTGTCCTACAGTAGTTCCTGGAGACCCCAAATTAGATCCTATCATGTTAAGTGCTGTATATACATGTAGTATGAAAAAGTGCTTGCCCTGCAGAGCTTACAATCTAAATAGACAAGACAGAGAAAGGCTGAGAGGGAAAAAGAGGCACAGAAGGGTTAAGTGACTTACCCAAGGTCACAAAGTCAGTCAGTGACAGAGCTGGGGATAGGACCCCCCCCCCCCCAAGTCTCCTGAGCCTCAGTCCTTTCCTGCCTGATAAAAAGTGTCACGGTACCCACCTATAACCAAAATAGCTAATGCCTCATTCACAGAAGGAATCTTCCCTTTTGTCAAAATTCAGGGCAACTGCACCTGCATTGCCCCTCTGTGGTTCACCAAGGGCACTCACTTTTAGGCCTCTGCTCCCAGCTGTCCCCTCACCTAGGGAGAGACCTACATTTCCCTCCCTCCTGACTGGGATTTTTCCAGGCTGCACAGTTCTCTGCCTATACTGTGATACTGCAAGCAAGCCAGAATGTCTCAACAGGCCAATGTCTGCACTTTGCTCTCTCTTCAAAGGCTATGAACAACTATAATTACCAGTAGAGTTACCACACAGCTCTCTCTGAGCAAGCACATTTACTCTTAAGGTGCAAGCATTGCAGAGAAAACATAAAAAGCAGAAGGTTACCAGCGGTCAGCCAGCAGTCTTATGGATCCGCAGTAGGCCTTAGTTATATGAGCCTTTATTACCTCCCACCTGGATTATACCTGTAATATATATGGGCATGAAGCCATCAACCGTTAAGAATCACCAACTCAGACAGAAAGCTGCAGCACATCTCTTCAGTGACATGGGCTACAGTGAGCACATCAGATCTATCCTCTTCTCTCTACACTGGCTTCTCACAGAATATGAAGTCAAGTTCAAAGTCTGAGTCCTTATCTTCAGGGCCCACAATGTCCTGGGTCCAACATGTCTAAAATATTGCCTAAAGGTCTAGGATGGAGGCCATGGCTGACAATTCTGCTCCTCTAGAACAAAGGAACTTTCCACCATGAGGGTAAAGTTCAATTATATAGGAGACAGAGCTTTCTTGGGGGGCAAGTACACACTATTCTCCCTCTGGAGAGATAACGAGAGAGAGAACAAACCACACATGACAGACACAGTTTTGGAAGGCACTCTATAGACGGGGCCTAGACGGTCTCTATTCACTCCTTGGCCTCTTTACTGAGTTTGTCGACATGGAGACCAACTCTGACTCTTCTTTGTGATGTTGACACCAATCTATTAGAAACCCATTTCCTCTTGCTTGTCAGTCTTTGAAAAGTGGACCAAAGGCACAGGCAGTTTTTTCCATGCATTATGTAAGTCGATTATCTCAGATAGTGTAAACATTTTTGATACGAAGTAAAACTGAAAAGGCATCTGGAACAGGGAACCCTGCCTATTTTTTGTGTTAAAACATGGAATAAGACGTTCACTTCACTAGCACCAGGCTCCCTTTCAGACTGCTGAAACCTTGAAATTGTTCGGAGGGCTCTATTTACCTGTTCTGCACCATGCTCATTGCCATCCAGTCCGAAGGGTAAACATTCTTTCCTATGAGATCTTTAAACATGATGAATGTTTCCATCAAAAAGTCCTAGAACAACAAAACACAATACAACTATGATTTTATATCCTGCAGACTTCATATTCCAAAGCCGACTCTCTGCACTGTGGAAAGCATCAAAGGAGAGGGCTCCATCCTGTTCCCACTGAAGTCAATCGCAAAGCTATCAATGACATCAATGGCAGTGGAATTGGGACGAAAATCATGTAAAAATAGCAGCTGTGGGCTAGAAATAAAAGTTAAAGGCAGATTACACTGAGCTCTTGAGCAATGATAAGCCATAGATGAATGGACAGAAAAACAATTCACAGTAAACAGCATTAAATTTAGGCACTTGGGAGTAGAATTGTTGAAGAGTTGTTTACCATTTAGAAGAGTCATCGCTTAGAAAACTTGAATTTTTTTTTAATTTAGCAATTTTTCAAAATACACATTTCTAAAGATAGAGTGCAAGTTATATTCAGAAATTATTCATATACACTTATAAATACACACAACCATTCATACAAAAAACAACAAAACCAAACCACTTCTCTTTTCTAAAGAACACTTACCAAAGAGACAGAGGTTATTGCAATATAATCATTAACACAATTATTCGATCATTAAGTGTTTGCATATATGGAGGTTTACCCCCAAGGTTTCTGTAATGAGCTTTAAGAGGCAGCTACTGAACTGTGAGGCCAATCACTCAAAGTGCCAACAACTCCCACTGGTACCACATAAGTGGCACTCAGCAGAAGATTTGGCTCTTTCTTAACAGTCAAATTGGTTAAGGGTAACCAAATGAACAATGTCTCTGAACAGCATAATACGGAAACAATTTTTTTATCACCATGATTGTCAGGACATTACTTTTATGCTATTGAGGAAAAATGAAGTGTTAACAAATCAATATATTTAAAAAGCAGAAAAAATAAGCATAATGACATAATTTTTTACAATTCTTTCCTGTTGACTTGCTCAAGTAGATTAGGGATTACCGCACTACATAGACTTTGGTAAAATTGCTAAATGTAGGCTGCTTCTGAGCACCCGAAGTGCCTGGAAGATGACAATACACCAAAATATCCCCATGTTACTAGGTAGTCTGACTCATTTGGAACATTGCAAAAAATAAGACTAGCTGGGCTTGGATCTGCCATGATCTGCACCATTTGAACTCTCTGACAATACATGGGTCTGAAAAGCAGCTGGATCTGGCAATCTGAGAATTTTCCAAGAGGAGTTTTCAGCTGGCAAAAAAACTGGTCTTATCCAGCACCTGCACCACTGCCTACATCTGTCCATGGGTGCAAGGAGTGTTTCAACAGCAGGGAGGAAAAGGAAAGGGGTGTGGTCACAGAACTGCTGTAATCATTTATGGAATGGTATCAACTGGTGCATGTTAGAGCAGCTCCTAGGCACTTCTAACCTAAACTGGAGCAAACCCAGCTGCACCATGAGAATCAGACAATTGTAGCTACTCAGCATAAAAACACAATCTGGGTCAACAATGGAGTTTTTAATGGAGATAAAGAGGAGAGAGAATTGGGACCAAAGTCCTGTAAAATAACAGTTGTAGGCTGGAAATAAAAGTTAAAGACCCATTACACTGAGCTGTTGAGCAAAAAATAAGTCATAGATGAACGGATAGAAAAAAATCACAGTCGAAAGCATATTAATTTAGACACTTTGGAGAAAAATTGTTGAAGAGCTGTTTACCATTTAGCAGAGTCATCTCTTAGCAAACTATCTAACAAACCTCCCCAACACGTAGGGAAGACAAAAAAGGCAAAACAATGATCTACCTACACCAGCAACACCTATATCTTTCACGCTTCTGACTGAGGTAGTATCCAACCCCTGGTATCATTCAAGCACTCTTCAGGTCAGAAGTAAACTTGCAGGGACTATGGGGCAAGAGATATATACAACAAATGTGTATCAGCCTTTTGATGATACTCCATATTTAGAAATAATGTCTAGTATTTGGTAAAACCATCTGTTCTTCTTAAACAATTGTGGCTACTAGAATCAAGTGTATGAGTAGTTCAGTGCAGAATATGAAGTATTTGAGAGCCATTTGTCTATTTGCCAGCTTTAAATGTGGATACTTTGTACTTACCACTAGCTCTGAACTTGTCTGAAAGGTTTCAATGTAAAAGGAGTAATGTTGGTTGTCCATTTGGTTTAAGATTGCTGTCATGCATGCCACAAAATGACTCTAAAATAGAAAAAGAAAAAAACTGTAAGGAACTGCACTTCTAAACTGTAGATTTAGAAGGAAATTAAAATAATGGATTATATCCTGCAATGCCAAATCACTAGATCACTAAAAACGAACAAAACCTGTGCCAGCCCAAATGTGAATTTTCAAAAGGTAAGAAGTGCTTCTCACTGTGTATACATTGTGAAATATGCTTAACAATAACTTACAACTGGCAATACTGAGAATACTACTCTAAGCAACTTTCTTCGTTGAAAAAGTGGTATCACTCTTAAGAGAACTCCTACAGGACATGACTTCGTATGTGGTTTAAAATTCCTAAAAATAATGTTATATTCCATAGGACTTGTGCATAACAGATTAATAGAAAACGAAAACTTTGTATAAGATCCTTTTGAATATTCATAAAAAATAATTATATCCCTGCTACAGAATTCTTCAGGAAGGATATGAAAATCTAAAAAAAGAGAGGATATTTGCTTAAATTTTTTAGACTTTTCAAGTACCTTCTGTTGAACCCTGTAAAATGTATATAGGATCCAACTGTTTTCATCCCTATTAAATTCTGTAAAACTATATTCTTCTGAATTTTAAAACAGAATTGAAATAAAATGGAAAGTGACTTATAATCTTAGGTTTCCATTTCCTTTTACAGAAGTGCTTCTTATTTGGCAAATCTTCAGGATACAGGGGTAAGGCTAAATGACTAAAGTTTCCCTTTGAGGAACAAAGTATCTCTTCCTATTGATGCTTTTTATCTTGAAAAAATTACAACAATTATTTTGATAATGAGCCAACTCAAAATAATCTCTGGATTTCTCTAAAAGAAAAACAATATGAAGCAGAGGCAAGCCTAGAAAATAACTGTTTTCTGACAGATTTACTCAAAACTTTGTATTTGATAAGTTTACAAGTGAGTCCCTGATGTTTCCAACCAGAAGTTCATTTCTAATTTGTACTGATTTTGGGAAATCAGATTCCTCTCTTAATTCTGATTGACTTTATATTTTGTTACCATCATAAATTCAACAAGATCACACATTACTGTAAAGTATCAGCTGCAGTTTATCCCACCCAACCATTTTGGCTACTACTTATTGCAAAAAAAGGAAGCCTTTCTTAACTTCAGGTTATGGCCACTAGAGGTCTTTTACTTTCATATGATAGCTGCTGCTCAGTTTGTACTGCTTTTTTATTTATTCCTACGTGAGCAGATCCAGTACAGTTCTTGCATATAAACAGTGAAAATTTCAATATAAAGGAGTTATTATACCTTATTTTGGAGTAACATTAGTGCTAGCCAGAACCTTGCCTACTATGTAAGACTAAGAAGATACATTTTCTGCGGGTAATCCCAAAGCTTTCAGGTAAGGATTTGTATGGTTTTGGTTACCGATGCTCTTCAAAAAGAAAATGCTGATTTTATGTCCTACAGTAGTTTACTTTTACAGGTATTGCTCAAATTAGACTCTTTTGTGAACTAAAATCCACAACTGCCAGGAATAGCAAGCTGCAGTGGGTGCAGTGGTGAGACTGTTAATTTTTTCCACTGATTTTAAATTTGAAAGAAATAACTGCCAACACAAATTACAGAATATTACACACACAAAAGCATGTGTTGTATTTTTCTCCTTAAGAAGCTTCAAGAGATGCTACAGGATGTGTTTTCTCCCAAGAATTTGAAGTAACCATTTGCTGAGATAAGCACTCTCTGTACTAGACTCTAGTCGATGTACTATCTTGCTGTTCAGCCAAAATGACTTTAAGAATGTTAATTTATTTGTGGCAACTTTTAAAATCTGTCTAGCAGTATCTAGTATTACAGTCTAGCATGAGTGCATGAGCTTAGTAACTTGTAAATGGGAATTGTGGAAATTAACAGAGGACATATGTTGGTTAATGAAAGCAGTTCTGCTACCAATAAATATCACAGTTTTGTTAGACAGTTTCTGGCAGCAAACCTGTCAACTTTCACAGCAGTGTGACTGACTGATATACAAAATGGAAGGTGCCAGCACAGCAGGTTTGCTGTCAAAAATCCGACCCCCCCCTCCACTTCCCAATATCATGTTAAGGCTGAACGGTATATTAAATGTATATTGGTACTGGATACTAACTTTGTGTATGACCTTTAATCATTTACATGTAGCAACCTTGAGTATTATAATTAACCACTTGATTTCTTATGTTGAAAACTTGCTCTCACCCCTCTCCAAAAGCCAGCAGGAAACAGGTATAGCCTCTCATTTCACAAGTGCTCAGGCATTCTCAACATCAGCATTCTCACACTGTTAGAACTTAAGTATACTTCACAATTCTGTCAACAACTCTATGTGTATTCATCTAAATTATCCTACATTGTCTAAGAATCTTATAATATTTAAGAGCCATTAACTGCTTCATAATAAAGTAAACTCCACAAGTTAACCAATCAGTTTTTAAATTCACTTAGTATGTTTATAACTTGGGCATAAGACATTTGGAATCAGGAACCTCCTGCAAACATACTAGTTGACTGTGATGATAAGTTTCTTTTTTAAAGCAGCACTGTATGTAGGGAACTGAATATTTAAATACAAATACAAAAGTTTCAGAGAAGATGAAGTTATTCAAATAAAGTTGACAAGCCATTTCAGCTGTGCTTAGCCTTGTTAAGATATATCTAATGAATCCCAGCAGAGATGTATGATTGAAACTAGGTCAAACATGTGTAAAAATAAGTGTAATCACAGTGAACACTTGACTGATGAAGGAATACTTAAAATGATGTTAACAGGAAGATTTTTTGCTTAGAATACATTATTATGAAGAGATGCAATAAATCACATATATTAATTTACCACCTTCATGCACAGAAACATCTTCACACCAGACTGACAATATAACTTCTTAACAAAGCAGTGTCCATTAACCAAATAATTAACAACATTATATCATTAGCAGGAACAAAAAGCATCACTAGGTTGTCAAAGGGCAATGAGATACAGATGAGGAAACCCACTCTTCCAGTAAACACGCAAAACTCCTGTACAGTAAACACCATGATCCATCAAACTTTAAAGAACTGTAGAGTGTGTCTTGCAGCCTTAGTACAAATACTGCAAAGTGTAAGCTAAAAAGAAACTACCCTATTTACAGATTTAGTATAAACAAACCACATCATCAATGATAAGATATTCAATCAAGAAATCAAATGTGGCTTTGTAATCCTTGGAGAGGGGAGGTGTCTATTTGCCCCATTTCCACTAAAGTCAACGCCCATGGGCTGCATGTGTAGCACTGATAGAAAAAGCAGCATTAAGTGTTAGGATCATAGGAGAAAGATGACAAACTTCAGCCCTAGCAACCCTAATCCCAGCATACTTTATCATACCAAATGGTGACAGATTGCTGTAGTAACTTCAAATAATGTACAAGAACCCCAAGCAATAATAAAACAAAAACACTAGAGAAAAAATAGCAAATAGTGTAGAATGAAACTATCCTTCAATATTAATCTAGTGTAAGTTAAACATTTACTTAATTATTTTGTGGGTATTTTTTACATGCTGGGATGTGTGCACATGGAGTGAGGGTGGAAGGTTCATGTGGCCAATTAAACAGTTATCCTCATGTGTCACAATATATGTCCATAGTTTAAATGTGTGAAACCCACATACATGTCAACAAAAAGCAATGAAAATAAAATTTAAATACTAATGCTCTAACGCTTTTGAAAGGCAGTAGTTAAAGACATACCATGAGCAGAATATTTAAAGCTTTAAACTATTACTTTTATCTAAAAAGAGTACAAACAGTTAACAGTAAGTCAACGGGTCTACCTGATGTCTCAAAAGGCATAATTGGAATAATATTTATGTGTTTATAATATATATAAATAATAAATAAACAATTTACTTCTCAGTAGTGGGTGATGTGCTCACACTACATATTGAGTCTGAGCTAATTTTCACAGTGCAAATCAGACATACATTAACTCAGCTGAAATCAATGGAGTGGAGTGCAAAACTGGTATAAGTATGACCCATAGTTTGTGAAGTCTGGAAAGTGCTTTGGGAACTTTCTGGGTAACAGGTATTATACAAACATAAGTCAGATCATTAATATACATAAGAGCATTTTTTGTAATCTGAATATGGCTCACAATGTTAAAAATCACCTCCATATTAGCAATTCCTGTTTTGTAAAAATGTACTACAGAAAGACCTTCTGGACATTCATGAAACGAGTGAATAATCTCACCTGCGTAGGGTCATGAGCATATGCACAACATGACAATTACTGTAAATAAAAGCTAAGGAATGCACTGTGATGCCCTTTAGAGTGACAGTAGTTCAAAGCTTTTTTGCACACATAGTAACACTTACAGTGCTTCAGGAAAGAAATGTACCCTCAGACCTCTAGTGCATGTCTATATTGATACAGATGGTAACACAACACTTTATCATATTATGAAAAACCTTGAACAGCAGCATTTTGTGCTCAAAAAGGTATAAACTGAATTTCAAGTGGTGAATCAGATATTCCTTAGGTAGTAGTTTTGTGTCTTCTCAAAGGAATATAATTCACCTCCAAGCCACATGCTCTCCTGTACTCCTCCAAGCCATGCGCCCAGGTATAAAGGCCTAGACCAAAAATATAAAAATTGTAATAGGCTGTTATGTAACAGCCTATTGTGCTGATCAAATGTGTACCCAGTGTCTGAAATTTGGAAACTGATCCACCCCACATACCTTTCTCACAGCTTGTCATTGAATATTTGGGGGGTGAAGGGGTAGTTATTTTTTGTTTACAATAAAGTAGATCCATCCTCTGCTGTACTAAGTTTGAGGTTCTATTTTTACATTTATGTTTGATGTCTTATAGTTCATTGGACCTGTCTTCTTGTATTTTATAGATGACTAAACCAAAGCCTTGGTACTCTATTTGCACATCTTACTGACAGCTTTTCGTTTCTGATTAAAAACATCCCAGTCTGCTGTATTCTTGTTTCACTGTTTACATTCCATAGTAGCTAAAATTTAGTACAGCCTAGAGTTTAGTTGAACATAAGAGGACAATTACCTAAATACTGGATTAATTAATGGAAAAATGTGAGTAATTTTACAACAGAAATTATATGGGAATAAAAGCAGCCTCTCAGATTTAAAAGTCTATTAAAGGTTATACAATTAAGGCTGTCTCAAAATTGTTCCTTTAAGGCTAATGCAGATATAATGATAGCGTAGTATTTCTCCAGAATACAGAAGTATTATGCAGTGCTACAAGCCTTGATCTTACAATTATCTGTGGGGGGTCTAAACAACATTTCAAGCACCTCCCATCCCACAAAAGTGGTATTTTTTCTCTACAGTCTAATTTTTTGTGTGCATGTTCAGCACTAGAATCACCCTCCATTCTCCCTGCCCAGCATTTTCCAGGGTAAAATCTAACAAGGAGCATGACTGCATTGTAAATTATTTATCGCGTAAGTATATTTATTGGGCCAGATTTTGTCCTCATTTACACTAGTGCAAAACAGTGAAGAACCAGTGGATAGAATCTGTCCCATTACATTGTACAGAACAGATTTACATAGTGACCTCCTTAGATGATACATCTGCATGCACATAAAGTATAGTATATATTCTTTATCTACTTTCCAATGGCAGAGCAATCATCTACAATGAACAGTCATTGCACCGGAAGATTCACTGCATGGTTTCCACTTTATTCTGTCCAAAGCACAGCAGCTAAAATCACCTGTAACCTACTGCCTGGACCACATCTGCTTTGTACACAAAACCCTCCATTGGCTTCCTCTCATCTGCTATATCAAATTAAAGCTTTCCTCCTCACCTTCAAGTATCTGTGCAATTCTACTCTTGCTTACATAGCTGCTCTCATTTCTTACCACACCTCCCTAATCACTCTACTACAATTACCTTCTTCTCCCATACCTGCTTTCATGCCTTCTTCCAGGCTGCTTTAGATATCTGACATGAACTTCCTATCTAGTGCAACAGGCAACCATCCTTTCAAAATCTCCAAGTTCACCTGAGGAGGCAGGGAGCTTATGTCCATTAGCTTCATCTTTGGAGCTGTGATTCTTTGTACTCATTCCACCTTGGGCCAGGCCTGACCAGTTAAGGACCAGTGGGCTAGCAGGGACATGGCTAACTTAATAATAAACCCATTATAAGTTCCTTACTCTTTTATCCAGGGCTGCCATTCTACTACACTCACCTCCAAATTAAAGATAACTAGCAGGTTAATATTCTGCGGAAACTGTAAAAGCACAAAATACAACTATACAAAGAAACTATTTTAAATGCTCCTAATTCGAGTTTATTTTAGTGCAAATTAAGTCATTTTCCTGTAGTGAAGT